TTTTATTGAAAACTTATTTAGAAACACAGAACCATAGAAAAATTTCGTTTCAAAGATTACCTTGAAGGTAATCTTGTCTAGTGGAATTTTATCACCCTGAGAGGACTTTATTTACCGTGAGAGTATTTCAGCTACTTGAGATGACTTTAACCATCCTGAGACCTGATGGAATTGAGAATCAGAGAATATCCTGAGTTGAAAGGGACCCACAGGGATCATCAAGTCCAGCTCTTGATCTTGAAGAGGACAGCCCCTGGAATCACACCATGTGCCTGAGGGTATTGTCCAGCTTCTTGATCTCTGGCAGACTTGGTGCTGTGACCACTTCCCTCAGGAGCTTGTTCCAGTGCCCAACCTCCCTCTGGGTGAAGAACCCTTTCCTAAAATCTAACCTAAACCTCCCCTGACACAGCTTCATGCAGTTCCTTGGGTCCTATCGCTGGTCGCCACAGAGAAGAGGTCAGTGCCTGTCTATTTCCCCTCACGAGGAAGTCGTAACTGCAATGAGGTCTCCCCCCCCTTCTCCAGGCTGAACAGACCAAGTGACCTCAGCTGCTCCCAGTATGGCTTCGCCTCTAAGCCCTTCTACATCTCAATAGACCTCCATTGGGTTCTTTATGTCTTTTTACTATTGTGGTGCCCCAAGCTACACCAAGGTGAGGCCACATCAGTGCAGAGCAGAGTGGGACAATCCCCTCCCTCGACTGGCTGGTGATGCTTTGCCTGATGCCCCCCAGGACACAGTTGGCCCTCCTGGCTGCCAGGGCACTGCTGACTCATATTCAACTTTATTCAAATGGAAGGTCAAAACTGATGGGTTTTTCTCACATCTCCTTATTAATTGGAAGATTCAAGATGTGATGCTTCTATTTCATCCAGGTGTTATAAACCCACTCAACTAGCCTGTACTATTTGCAGCTAGCAAGTAGCAGGCTTCCGCTGGAGAGTTTGAAAGTTCCATTTCCAACACTTCCCACTCCACACATATACACATAATTATCTGCTACCTGTTAGAAATCACATATTAAGTAATTTTTTCATCTAACACAGATATGAAGGGATTAAGAATGGAAGGAAATTTTTGGTTTTATAAATGTCAGTGAGCAACATGCTGTGCTGAGGGATGTAGCAACACAGATTAAAGGCAACAAGTAGACTTAGAAAACTATCATGAGCTCTTTAATAATACCATTTTGTATGAGGAAATGATCTTTCTTAAGAGGTTTAATCTTGGCTAGTTTTCAGTAAGTTTTCATACAGCTGACAAATTTTTATTCCTGATCACAGTATCAATACAGCTGTACCTTTTTCAAGACATTGAACCCCTGGGGATCTTGAATAAACCCCTTAAGTTTCGTTGTTCTTCTTTTGAATGATGTTGGAAAACAGTATAATAACTTCCAAGGCAGTACTGAAATATTTTTGCTGAAACACTGCAGTATTTATCATAAGAAGAAACAGAAGTAGTCCAAAACCTCAAAATGTTTATGGAAAATGCAATCAAATACAAAGAGGCTTTTAAAGACAGGCTCTTGGGGAATTGTCTCTACAGACAATGCTATTCTCACTGCTTGCAAGAGTAAGAGAATATGAAAAGCCTGTTAACTTCTGCCAACAACATATATGTGCTTGAAAAATATCAAGTTGCTCGTTTCACTTGCATTCCATTACATCACTTCTTCAATCTCTATTATTTCTTCAGTTTCATGGTTTATTAACAGATTCTCATATTCTGCCTATTAAAGGAAGAATAAAACATTTCATTAGTGTTTCAGGCATGAGATTAGCCACAAAGTCATGATTTATGAATCTCCTGTCATTCAAAGAGTTGTTATTATATAAAAGCTGTAGTAGGACTCTGTCAATGAGAACACCGAAATAGACACGTCTAGATCTTCTCCCCATGTTGAGCTCACCAAAGAGGAACAAAAGATTTTTCAACTCTGTATTGGTTTTGTATTTTTGTGGCCAGGTTTTGGTAGCAGGGAGTCTACAGGGGTGGCTTCTGTGAGAAGCTGCTAGAAGCTCCCCCCATGTCCAGTAGAGCCAATGCCAGCTGGCTCCCGAATGGACCCACTGCTGCCCAAGGCCAAGACAATCTGGCATGATAGTAACACCTCTGTGATAACATTTTTAAGAAGGGGAAAAAGTTATTGCAAAAATGAAATTTCAGCAAAAGAAGAGCAGAATGAGAACATGTGAACAACAATGCAGACACCAAGGTCAGTGCAGAAGGAGAAGGAGGAGGTGCTCCAGGTACCGGAGCTGAGGGTCCCCTGCAGCCTGTGGTGCAGACCAGGGCTGTCCCCCTGCAGCCCATGGAGGACCACGGGGGTGCAGAGATCCACCTGCAGCCCATGGAGGAGACCCACACCATGGCAGGTGGATGCCCAAAGGAGGCTGTAACCCCGTGGGAGGCCTGTGCTGGAGCAGGGTTCTGGTAGGGACCTGCTGACCTGTGGGGAGAGGAACCCACACTGGAGCAGGTTTTCCTGGCAGGACTTGTGGCCCTGTGGGGGACCCACACTGGAGCAGCCTGTGCCTGAAGGACTGTACCCTGTGGAAAAGTGACCCATGTTGCAGCTGTTTGTGAAGAACTGTTGCTCCTGGGATGGACTTGTGTTGGAGAAATTAGTGAATGACTGTCTCCTGTGGGAGGGACCCCCCGCTGGAGCAGGGGGTGTCCTCCATGACTCCTCTCCCTGAGCAGCGGCAGGAACACCCTGTGATGAACTGACCATAACCCCCATTACCCATCTCTCTGCACCACTGTGGGGGGATGAGGTCGAAATTGGGAAGGAGGTAGGGGCAGGGGAAAGGATTTTTTAAGATTTATTTTACTTCCCATTCTCCAGCTCTGATTCTGTTAGTAATAAATTTAATTAATATCCCCTCTTTGGGTCTGTTTTGCCCATGATGGTAATCAGTGAGTGATCTCTCCTGGTCCTTCTCTGAACTCATGAACCCTATATTACATTTTCTCTCCTCTGTCCAGTTACAGAGGGAAGTGAGAGAGTGGCTTTGGTAGGTACCTGGCGTCCAGCCAGCGTCAACCCACTACAAACGCAAAAGACAGAAAACTCCTATTTTAAAACATAGAAGAGTTAACACGATGAAGGAAAAGGACTTAAAAGGATTTATAAAGGCTCACCAGTACTTCAGTGTGTCCCTGTGGACAAATTTGAGTTTCCAGACCTGCCTGTAGCCAACTTAAAACAAACTGGAACATGCTGTCTAGATGGGCAGTTCCTGCAATGTTTGTGTATTTGTTCCTTCTCACTAGTCCTTCCAGCTTTCTACCTAAGTAAGCACCTCTGAACTCTCTGTTCTACTTTCTTGCTTACCATACCGTAGAAACTTTTCCTCCTCTAGCATTATTACCAAATACTAACATGGGGTTCAACACCTTCTACGGCAAAATGATTGTAGAATTCTTTGTCCCTTCTTTCCCTGTCTGATTCTGCATTATTATTGCACTGAGAAGCTTAGGGTCAGCACTATTCAAGTGATAGCTTATGGTTTATAGGGAGGGCAGGGTGAAACTGTATTTTCTCCAGTGCTCCATGTAGACGAATGACAATTTTTTCATAATGGAAAAGGTAAAACAGAATATTTATTTGCATATGGACCTTCTCTTTCCATACCACAGGAACAAGAAGAAGAAAGAAAAATGATTCTTGCTTGTGTGCATCTTTCTGACACTTAGGTCATACCTTCAAGACTGAACTTGACCTCAATTTTTAAGTTTCAGACAAATGGAAAGAAAACGTACCTGGAAATCCACTGGACAGGCCTCATGGAATGGGTCTCTTGGCTGTGGTACTGTAGCAGATGTTTTTTTCAAATAAACCCTTCTACAGTGACATAAAGTGTTGGTGAAGAAAAGACTTAGTGTGCAAACATATGAACACATACTCTATAATAATGCTCCCGAGGTATTATTTTATTCCTCTCAGACAAAAGTAGTATTCCTCTAAGTCAAAAGTAGCTAAACGTTATGTAGGCTGAATACAATGTTATAATTTCATTGTTCAGAATTTGGATGACAATAATTTATTTTATGACTTACTAAAGCCTCATAAGAAGTTGGGTTTTTAAGTATATGGAAGGGTTATATCGTCAAAACATGAAAACAATTTCATGGACCACACATCTACATTGGAGGGTCTGATGTCAGGAAAGTGACACCAAGGTAAAGCTTTGTCCTAGTATTGGAAAGCATTGTCTTATATTAAACAAGTCGATAAGAATGTTGGGAATCAGAAATATAAAACCCACTTGAGGAACATCCAACAGGTCATGATTCCTAGTATAGTTCAGTGTTGATTTCCCCCCCTCCCTCACTTCCTTTAAAAAGAAGCCAGAAATTTTCCACTGGGGGAAAAGGTGTTATTTTAACTTCAGAATAAAAATTTTGTGCAAGAAATGAGGCTTACACTGTGCAGAGAAAAAGTGCAAGACTTGCTGCCAGCCCCGGTATCAGAAATAAAGTATATGATGAAGTAGATGTAAATTGTTGTTTTCCTGAAAGTCAAACAATCATCAAAGTGTTGGTTAGCATCACAGGACAGGAATGATTGCACAGCTATTTGCAATCTGCTTTGCAGGAGTCAAGCACTGTATGAAGTGATGACTTTAGCACCTCATTGCTCTGTAGCATGTGAAGGAATAGGATGGTTAACAGTATGTGGACTATCTGCAGTAACATGAGACCTGAGGAGCTGAGCCCTACAGAGTATTGAAAAATCCAAGAGATGGAAGAAGTGACAACAGACCTCAAAATGGTCTGCTTTATTCACTAACCCCTTGCAAGAAGCACTGTCACACCAGAATGCTTGGAAAACTCCCTCATATTAAGAGACATGCCAGTTCTCCACCTCTCTTTGCCCTAGCAAATTAATGGGCAATTATCAATGTGCTTCCATCTGTAAGGATGAAGTAATAAATGAGGCAGACAAGGGTTAAACGAACTTGGTCAAGGAAGTGATTTTCATTCTTACCAAACTCCACAGGTGTACTCCACTCTCCCCAACTTGGGCTCACTAAACAAATGCCTGTGTCAGTTGCTCTGATTTTGACGCTGTACCTTTTTTCTGCGCGGAAGTTCTCGTAGAGGTAGGAGTGCTGCAATGCAAAACAACTGGACTGAGAATTTTTTATTATTTTTATATTATTATGAGAAAATTTCACTTATGTCTCTGTGGACAGACTAGAGTGAAATAACAAATAGAAAAATATCCCTTAATAAGTTAGATTGTTTCATCCTAATTCCTTTTGTTTAAACATTTTTGTTATTGATAATATGAAGATGAAATTTGCTATGTGCTTCCCTGGATCCCTAGGCTATGCTAAACAATAGGACTTTAGGGGAAAAATTTTTTAGAGATCTGACATTCCCTTACTGTGGATGTTTTTGAAACTGAAGTAGAGTTTGACATCCAGATTATACAGATGTGAAAACCTGATTTTTTTTAAGTCCATCTATATACTGGCTTAATCTTTCAGGTGATATTTTTTTGCCTCTTCCATCTCAATCCCTTCCAGATGCCATTAATAAAGAAGAAATTTGCCACATTTTGTGTATCTGTTACACAGAATCATGATCCATATTTATACATATATATCTGAATATTCTAGGAAGTACAAAAGAATGTAAAATAGAAGATTTTGTGAAGTAATATGAAGTTCCACATTTGCAGGTGTTTTTGTACCATGTTTTATAAACGATAGTTTAAAATTTTGGATTTAGAAAACTTATCAATAAAGAACATATGTAGTACACTGAAACTGATAATGTGAAACCAAACCAATTTGTTTGGAGGATTCTGTAATATAGAAGAAGTTTCAAAAAAGAATAAATGTTAGATTAATATAGACTTACTGTTTTAGATGTGGTGTTGAAGTTTTTCTCAGGATCAGCCTAGCAAAAAGAGAAAAGTTTAATTTTTAAGATTATTTATTTTGCTACCGTATAATAACGAGCCCTCTCTCATGAATATTTGATTTTCATGAAAAAAACTTGTATCTAATATCTTAAATGCCTTCTTTTAAAGACCACAAAGTTAAGCTATTCTTCCACTACATGATTTTTCCTCACCACAGTTGCTTTGAAATATTGTACTTCTTAAATTTGATTACAGAATTGAGTATCAAAGCACTAAACAAAAAAGGCTCAGGTTTAGAACCAATTAAAATTTTATGTTTTACTTGTACAAAACAAAGTATCTAAAACTTACTAGTAAACTCAGACAATATTATTACCATTAGTTTTTTTGCCTGTGTGGCTTTTATACTCTTAAACATTTAGTTTAGCTATGTTACGTCTCCTTTTTTTTAAATTTTTTTTTAAATTTTTTATTTTTTACTGTTGGAACAACAAACTCACAAATATTTCCACAAATATTTTGAAGTTTGTTTTTTTTTTTTTCTTTTAATGATGTAATACTTCAAAATACTTGCAGGTACTGAAATTTATAATGACATCTGTATACAGCTGAGACCTGGAAAGCCACTTTAAGTTAAAAACCAAAGAACTCAGAACTTACTAAAACCCCACAATGAACAGATGCTCTGTGACTGCCTCTTACATCTGATTGTGACAGCTGTGGTGCAACCATCTTGATTATGTATGCTGCAGGCTTACTCTAGAGAAACATAAACTCCTAAAGTCCTTCAGCAACACAGGCTGGTGTCAGTAAATGGAGGCAATAGGAGAAGAAGGCAAGGTTGGATACACAAAAGACAAAATGAAAAGTACAGGCACCCAGGTGGAGATATCTAAGACTCCATTCTCTTATATGAGCTAGAATAGGTATTCTCCCTCAGTATGGGGAATTCCTTGCCCAGTTGTTTTAAGCACCAACTGTGCAGTGGACTGAAAGCATTCCTTCAGTTTGCTGCCCCTCTTTGTGAGTAATAGCAGTCCTCAGCTCATGTGTAAGAGAGGCACTACACATAAAAACAAGAGATTAGTTACGTAGGCGAAGAGAACACAGTACTGGTTGTATGGTGCTATGTGTGGGAATACAGACATAATAAAATACTATTAAAAGTCATAATTATTCTTACCTTGTTTTCTATGACAATTTCATATTTGAAACAACTGCTTCTTTTCACATGACTTGTGTGAGGTGGTTGCCACTGAATATTACATGTATGAGAAGCTTCTCTACAGTTCACAGTGACATTTAATGGAGGGGTGAGTTTTTCTACGATAATATAATCAGAAATACTATTGATTAATAATAGCTCTCTTCACTCTGCCTTTTTAAAAATATAGGTAGATGTTCAAGCAACTGGTCTAAATAGATATAATGCAGCTTTAGCAGAATTACTATATTCTCCCCATATTTTGAAGCATGACTCCCTGGTTTAGCACTCCAGTTGAGGAGACTGGAGCATCAGCAACAACAGTAAGTAAAATTAAAAAACACAAGCCATTTATTAGATTTTACTGAATTCAACATATAATCTGTATGTGTTTGTTTTTCTTAGTCTTTTTTAATACTGTGTTCATATAAAATAGAAATAATATTTTTTTATCAACAACATTCTTCCATTTAAAAAAAAATGAAGGCTTTTGCTCACATTGTTAAGGTAACTGGTTCTTTTTTATTTGTAGATGCACAGAATTATGAGATAATAAGACCAACATCTAGATAGTCCCACTCAGGCATCCTTAACTAGTTAATCCCAAAAGATGATGCCTTTCTTTCACAGAATAAATATTGTACTGAAATGCTCATGATTCTCCAACCCATGATTGTCTCTATACTCCTTAGTTTTTGTTCATTTTTATACTTTAGACTTTTCAGACATCAGGGCTGGAGAAAAGGAAAAAAACACCTGTTATGAGGAGCAGTATTTTAAAAACATATGCTTTTTCCCAGGCATGAATTCCTCATTCTTTTAGCATAAAACTAGAAATAAAATAATAATAATAAAAAATCCTTACCAATTTTGTATAGCATAATCTTCTTCTCATATGACTGAATGTTTTGTCCACTTCTAGATCCATTTACCAGGAAATAAGCATACTTATATGCTATTGTCACATTTTGGAATCGACATCCTGTGTTCCTTCCCCAATTATCTTTGATGTAATTCTGGCACCCTGTGACATCTTCTTTCCTTTACATGAAATATCGTATCAGCTAAATATTGACAATGTAACATATCAGACCAGAAAGAAAATTCCCTAGATTCAAACAGACCTACTTACTCTGAGGGCCTCCAGTACAGAAAATACTGGGTATCTCTTGTAGCAGTCCTGCCCACATGCCACGTGCAGTTCATGAAGGACACATTAAAAATGACACAGACAAAATTTTCAATGGCTGTCCCATTCATTTCTGCAAACACAGAAAGAATATCCCATGTCCACTCTGCAGAAAGACTGTATAAGTGCTCAAGTAACGCAAATCTCTGCAGGCTCATTTAATAATTTTTAGCTACCTGCTTAGTAAATCCAACTGCATATTGTTTGGGTCTTGTAGTTTTGTACTTACTTGAAGATGGCAACTATTTTATTTCTGTTGAGCAATGAGGATTATCTACCATTGTTCCAGATGTGACTGGGATTTAATCAAGTCTTTAATAAATTCAAGCACTGTGATTTAGTGGAAGCTAATAACAAAGACAGTCACCATGGTGTCCTTTGTTTAGATCCCCTGTTTAACTAATGCCCAGTCTACAATGGAATATAAATTCTACAACTATGAGCAAGGCAATTTCTCTCTCCTGTGCTTAAGTGCTCCGACTCTTGGTTGACTTACAAAGCACTACTGATTTAAAAAAAGGTGTCCACTGCTTTCTTCTGTGCGGCAGCTGGTTGATTACAACCTAACCCTGAGACTGCTTCCTGAAGCTAGTACCTGCAGAAGTGTTATGATTTCAAAGACAGAATGGCATATTTTTAAATCATGAATTGGAAATGATTGCTAATCTGCTTCAGTAGTTTGGATTCAAGAGTAGGGTGAATTTTGTTTGCACTGAACTTGATAGAAGGAGGCCTGAATATTCATATAACTAGTGTAAAATCAAGACGAAATTGAAGCAGAAGTTGATAGCTTGCTTAAGTTAAAAGACTATTCAGGTTACCTACTCACAACCTGAATGCATTTCTCATGTGTTTTTTCCCTACCGAAAGGTGAGATCTCCAACAGGAAATGATAATCATTCGGTACCCTTCTTGAGAACTATCAATGTGAATTGAAGGACTGGGTCATAGCTTCCCAAGTCCAATCACTTTTCATTGAGTTTAAGCACCACATGTACCACCTTTACACGCACCTTTCCAGTCAGCCCTAGAAATCCACATCCAATTTTTACACCTTTGGAAATAAAGAGGAATTTTTCAAGAGACAAGAAAACTGTCAGAGTACTCCTGGATTTCTGGAAAATTTCCTCCCTTCCAAGAGGAAGGTTGAAACTTGGTTCAGCAGCATTTCTTTCAACAGCATTGTTGGCTTAAGCATTTCCTGTCCTTCCCCATCCTCCATGGCTCTGTCCTGATTCCATCCTGCATCCTTGGCTGTGCTAGTGCCACTCCTTGTGGAGCCTTGTAGTGAGTAGTATTGAATATGTGATCACCATTAAAACTAATGCTCCTCCCAGCACTTTTTTTTTTAACCTGGCTTAACATCCTTTACCACAAACAGTGGAGCAAGCTCATCTGAGATGACAGTGTGGGTTAAGCAACAAAGACCCAGAGAAGAGCTATCTAAGCTATTTCTGCTACTGTAAGAAATATTGACCCTTATCTAGTCACTAAATGTATCAAAACTCTCAGCATAGAGTTGTTTATATCCAGTTTATGTGTGAGTTCATATACATAACAAACTACTTTTGAGAGTACAGTTATTACGGTACTGTGGTGAGGTGATGGAGAGCTTTGATCAGTTCTCTGGTCTGCCACAGATTCAGTTTATGACCCTAGGTCAATCAAGTCTGTGTACTTCACTTCCTCATTTACAAAACAAATAAATTTCCTTTCTATCAAGAAATTGCCAGGCAAATGCAGCAGCCTGAAGTACGCTTGCAGGTGCTGTCCAAAGGTCTTAGAGAGATGGGCTTCCTTAAGCCTTTACCAGTGCTGCAAATCTAAAGAAAAAAGGGTTATTCTAATTTCAAATCAGTTCACAACCTGGTTCACCTGTAGATCAACAAGCAGTTGAATTACCAGCAACAAAGAAACAGGGTGAAAGGAACTCCTAAAATGGCATTGTGGTCAAGGAAAAAGCAAATAAAACTACATCCTTGGACTCTTCAGCGATGACCTCAGGTTTTTATATTCAAGAAAAGCATATATAGAGATATTCTCAGAAGTTCTTTAATAAGCCCAAGTTCTACAGCCAGAACATTACTCTGTCTACAAAACAGTCCTGATCATCTGCACAGTGTCATGTTCTTACCAACATTAGGCACATGCTGTGAAGATCACTCAGATATGTACGAGTCTCTCTACACCATTTGTTGACAGGACATTTTTTCCCAAGTTTTGAGGGCATTTATTTTTCATTTTTTTATTTATTCACATTTCTGTGGTTATGCCAAAGAAAGTGTAGCAGAACAGATAAGTATGGTTATCCTTCCTGTAATGTTTATTTTTGAGCCTACTGTATTCACTCACAGTGTCAGCATTACAGTTTTATTTTTAGCAACACCTGAAATAGAACTAAGTCTTCATGACACATTTATCTCACATTATTTCAAAGAGAGACTGACATTTTTCTGTTTCCAGCTTATATCTGAGGTCTAGCTAAATTTATTTAGTGTCCTTTTGCTGAACCACTCCTCTTTGACAAAACCAATATTTGTCACTTATTTGGAAGGATTGTACTCTCATTATCCTTTTCTGTGAGCTGTGATGCAAAGAACAGTTTCTCTGTATTGTACTTTTCTTTCTGAATTGTCTCCTATACTATTTGATGATGATAATAAATGCATATAGAAGTATGCTAATATCCTCAGAAGTATCCTTTGTTTCATACATGGATAACTTATTTTCCCATATTTTACTATCTTTAGCTATATTTGAAATGTTTCTTGACATTCTTTCCATGAAAGAAGCAAGCTACTCAACTGAGTGAAATGTGATGACTGCACCCAACTGCATAAAAACCCACTGTTTTGAGCACACAGAATACTTTTATTTATTTACACCTCTTGAGTCAATATATCTCCATCACTTGTGCAGACGTTAGAAAAATGTAGGAGTATTAGCTTCAGAAAAATATCAAAGCAAAGAAAATTTGGCTCTGCAATCCTTTGTGGGAGACAATATTATTAATATGGGAGGACAGGATCGCACCTTTGGGTCTTGAGCAAAAGAGAATTTCTACTTTTATTCAGTAATTCTTAAATAAAAACCACATAAATTTCTCTTGACTCTTGGACATAAAGGAACAGATAATTTTTTATGGATTGTAAATAACATGCTTGCTATTGGAAATGAATAAAAGGAAATTAAAATATTTTAAGCTTTTAACCTAACTCTGAAGATGCTGTCAGGTGGAATGGGGTGGAGTTCATCTTACCTAAACTTATCCAAAAGCTGTATAGATATGCTCACAGGAGAACCAGTAATTCCATATGGCCTTAACATTGTCTGAGAAAACGCAGCTACTTAAGACATGGTTTATTCAACCTAGTCCAGAACAAGAGAAATGTAGGTTGCACTATATTTATTTTCTGCCATTTGCTGAAAAGATAGTCCAGGGCAACCTTCCCAGAGGAATCTCTAACTCTGAGCTATCCACTTGGGTCAGGTAAATCCAAGATGATTAATTCCTTTTCTTTTTTACATCATCTGGAATCCATATTTAAGTACTAAACAGAAATGCTGCAACTATTATTTCCTCAACTGATAACTGCAAATTTTTTATTGAAAATACCTTTTTCTTCTCTTTCTTATACCTGTGCAAATATCAAGTGCTTTTTCTCTTTAGAAAAACAGGTGCGATGGAGGAACTGGGAATTGTATTGTTTTCCCCAGAGGTGTTTCAAACTTTCTTTCACATCTCAAATAATTCCTGTGCAGATTATTGATCAAAATCTTAAGGAAACTTAGAGTATTTCTGTGTGAAGTTGTTTCCTTCCTTACTGTAGCTTATAAGGTTTCTATGGAAATCGGCTACTGCTGGACTCTATGCTACAGCACAAGTCACTCTCAGTTACTTCTCACAGAAGCTTGAATTCTGACACATGTCCACAGGTCATGTTAGGAATTCAGAAGCTGAAATCCTACTGCAGTGGCTATTCTCATCCAAGTTGATTACAAAGGTGGTTAGATAAGGATAAAAACTTGTCCAATAGCCTTTTGATTATGAGTAACATATAACCATGGATTTCATAATGTTTTTATACTGCTATGATTTTTGTAATTAATGAAAAGGAAGGTTTGTAAATAAAAAAACCTGCAAAACATACACTTCTTTTTATATGACTAATTTTTTTTAAGGGAAAATCTGTGTTAGGTATAGTAATTAAGACTAAACCTCTGAGATTTATTTCCCAGCTTTGGCTCTGAAAGAATTCGAAAACTATTTTTGTCAGTGGGAATATATAAAATGGAATTATTGCTTACATGTTGGTTGTGCTATGAAGGTAAAATTATGCCTACATGCCTGTGACATTTTCAGAGAACTGTGTGTATGTGAAATCTTCTACTTCACTATTAAAATTGTAAAGGAGAAAGGACACTGTCATGTTCCCATTCTGCTCTTGCCAAAATACAGTACTCCTAAAAGGGACTCATTCTGCATAGTAATTTTCTCTATGGATATAAAGTTCTAAAATCCAAACATTTCCAGTCTGACTGTTTTCAAGAAAAAGTGACCTAGGCATTCTTCAACACTGTAATGCAGGTCTTAACATAAGAAAAATGCTTCTATATGGATAAGGCTAGTAACACTGGGAACTGCTAATTTTAAAATATATTTGTACTATTATTTTCAGACTGTATTGGCTAAGACAAAAGCATGCATTTGCAGGTAGTGTCCGTTCGCACCTGACAGTTATTTTAACATTAAAACTAGCAGAAATAACAAAGTTAAGTATTTCTTTGCCTAGCTGCTTTGGAGGAAAAGAAAAATAGAAAAGAATATAGAAAAGAAAAATAGACAAAGACAAAAGTAAACTTACCTTCTCCTTGAAAACCTCTTTCCCTGTGGCCGTTACAGTAACAGAGCACAAAAAAGGCAGAAACTATGAATTTGTCCTAGTGGTATATTTTTGCACGCTTTGAGAGTATGATTTCGTGATTGAGTTCTTCTGAACTCATGTTACAGAGTGCAAAAATCCCGCCTACATCTTACTCATTTCCCTTACCATGTGGTGTTACTTCTGTAACACAATGGGGAGACAACAAGGAGCTACAGACAGACAAAAAGGTCAGAATAGAAGGACTTTTCATGACTTCATTCACATAATTTTCACTCATTTCTCTCACACATTTTTCATATAGATATTTGTACAGGGCACCACCTGAAAACTAGATGAATATATGAGTCTTCCTTATGCCTCAAGTATAGATCAGGTACCTTTGCTTAAAGCCACGCCACTGTTTTCTGCTAATTGCTTTGGATCACCTCCCTGCACAGGAGTATAAGCCCAGTGTTTTGGCCTTCAAACAGCTGTTCCCAGCTTTGCACTAGCCAGCCTCATTTCCTGTAGATGGGTAACAAACCAATGTCACCAGTCTCAACAACTTTCCTACTTGACACATATACACATTTTTCTGGGCTGGGTGAATTCAATGCACAGAACAGGAAAAGTCTCTTCACATATGCAAATGCCCTGAGTGATCAAACAAACAGTGTCACTTTTCTGTGCTAGTGTCCTGGAACCGAGAAGCATTGCACCTATCTTTTTGTGTACAGTCTGAGTACAGAGTCCTCTGCTTGCCTCACCTTTAAATATTTTTAACACAAAAATGAAGTTATTAAAGTAGAAAACAGTATTTAAATCTGATTACTTATAGTCTTCACTGAGTGTACTAGTCTTGCTGTATGTATCTGTTATTTCTCATTGGAGGAGTGGTAAATCAAATTAAATCTGTCCTTCTGTCTGTCTGTATCTTGTACAGCTTCATTCCCTTCAGCCTTTATTCTTGTTGCTCTTCTCAGCAGAGAAGGAATATGTGGGGGATGGTTCTTGAGATGTTTCCTCTTCTTCAGGTCTCAATTCCTCAATTTTATTCACAGAGTAAACAGCAGGACACTACTGTATTCCCTGTTAAGACACTTCATTTCAGGACCTGCAGAAGTAAGGCCTTTTGTTCTCTTTCTCACTTTCTGATGCAGACAATTCTGTAATATTAGAGTGAATTATGCTTTTGGGATAGATTTGTTTCAGTGAACATGAAACCTCATTTTCCATAAGGTGTGCACAATGCGCCCAGCTTGTTGACAATAATGCTGTGTAGGTTCGAAGCTAAACAACTGATTCTCATATGCATCTATAAATGTATCAGAATGAAACTGGTCTTCTGTGGAAAGGCCTAAGTATGCAACCACAAAGATTTCCAGTATGTCAGGAAATATTAGGTGTTGTGTAGTGGACACACTTCAATCCTGTGACTCTTATTTTCTAGTTTAATACATGAGAACTTCTCAGAACACTTACCACTGTTAGAGGGATGAATCCAGGAAAACGACCGTATTGGTCCAGTGATTTCTTGGATTTTTTTAATTACGTTCTTTAGTCCTCTGGCAGGCTTGCTACTTTACAAAGTGTCAGTTCACTCTACGTTCACTTTTAATGAACTATTGACAAAGCACATTGCCATCATGTCCTCAAACCTGCTAAGGGCAGATTGCCTAGGAAAAAAAAAAAAGAAAAACAATGGAAGGATTTAGAAAGGCCAGAGCAGAAAAGGATCCAAATCCCACCAGTGATACATAAAATATCCCAGCCAATTGGACACTTGACATGCACTCTCTACGTGCCAACCAGGAGGAAAAATATGGAACCTGATTCAGAACTATAGGCATCACTAGGTAGTCTAACACGGAACACATGAACCTTCAGGTGACATCACTCATGAAAACAGGATCATGCAGAATAACACTGTGGATGTTTTCTTTGTCAGTAATGACAGATAAAGGACTTGTCCTGAAGTTTGATTCACACCTTGATATTTAATTTAGTTCCAAGATGTGGTACCTGGTGAACTTTGACATAAGTTGCCCTCACTATATGTCCCCTGAAAAAATCTAGGGATTGTTTGTAACTGAAGTCCAAAAATCACTACTTAACCTCAGGAAATAAGTTAAATTGCAAAAATACAAACAAAATGGTTTTAATGATGGGAGTTCTAGATAAGGACCAAACTGGTATGTCTTTCAGACTAATGGGTAGGTCTTGCAGAAACTGAAGTTTTCAGCACTGTTTCTCTTTTACTGTTCTATAGTATACAGAAAGGGAACAGTCAAGTTGTGAAATGTGATTCTGTATCATTATGTTCAGTTGGAACAAAAGCTAACTGGTGATCTTGGGATTAATGTGCATTTTCCATTTGGGCCCCAAGGAAATATTGCAATGACTAGAGAAAATTCAGTTAAACCTACTCTTCCTCTCTAGCATCTGTGGCAAGATGCCAAACTGGCTCCAGATCAGCTTTAACACTTTGTAAGACAAGTGCTCTCATGACAATCCAGAATGCAAGTTACTCAAGTTGTATTCACTGATGAGATAAAGAAAAAAAACCAGCATCAGGTGGTAGTCTAGTGCTGCAAAAATAGCACCAATTTCATTACCTTTCTCTTTTGTGTCAGTGTTTTTACATCCTGAGCACGTGTGCTGGAAGGGCATGCTTTGGCAAGCAAGTCCCTGGAATGGCTTCCCTCAAAACCTCTTTGAGGGTCCATAGAACAATACTACATCTCAATGGATGCAGCTGCTACAGGTATGTCTCATGTTTCTAGTGTTTCTCCCACAAACTAAGGAAAGGCTTAGGATACACTCACCTGTGATTCCCGGGACCTCAGCAGGCAGAATTGGTTGTGCCTGTGTCATAGTTTTAAATTGGCCCCCCTTGAGAGTTCGAGGGGCTCAGAGGTGACTGGGTGCCAGGACAGTGTTCCCTGGAGAGCCAGTCACTGTCCATGTTGTTCGCTTCTGCTCAAAATCATATATCACAGCAGCAGAAGCTGTTGGCAGTGCAGCCTTGGTTGTTTTGCTGTTGGTGTCTGCTGCGTGTAGGTGGACAAGGCCAGGGGGTGGCTGGGCTCCCTCTCTTCCCCTCCGGGGGGGAGAGGGGAGCCCTGCGACCCCCAACTCAGCCTTTGGCTAGAGATAGAGTCAGCATTTGGAGTGTGTGCTGTGGAAGAAGAATTCACAGCACCTGAGGTAAGAGGAGAGAGGCAGGCTTTGCAGCCAAGCCCTCTCTTCCCCCTCCTTTTCTACAGTGAAGCTGTAGAGGGGGGCTTCTTTCCCCCCACTGCATTTAGGCTGGTGGGGGGTGGATTTTAAGGCTCAGCACTTGAGCAGAGCCAAGTGGACGGGCTGATAAATCAGCTCGGCGCTCGGGAGAAGAGTCCCAGGTGAAACTGGAGATGAGCCAAGAGCTCGAGAGTTGCCTGCTGAAGCTGACTGGGGACAGCTGAGAACTGATGTGGAGGAATGAAGATTCCAGGACGTGGACGCTTGATAAGCTAAGCTACACTACAGCAGCTTATGAACCGAGGTGGGACACGGAGAGGGAGGAATCACCACCAGCAGGAGAGCAAGGACTCAAAGCTACCTTCTCGGACTTCATGAGGAGGAGGGACTACAACAAACAACTGCTGGAACTTGGTGAGGAGGGAGTGTTCAGGAGCCCAGGACACTCCCACAGCAAAAGACTGTGTTACATATCAGCCTTAAAGGCTGCTCCTGGACTAAAGTTAAAGGAGGGGCTTGAAAGGACTGACTGATAGTAATGTAATATATATATATAGTTGCCTTTAGTTTGTATAGTATTTATTTGTGTAAATAAATGTATATATTTCCCCCTTCCCCTACAGAAGCCTCTGGCCTGAAAGTTTCTCTCCGGTGTTAGGATAAATTGTTGAGGAGTGGGGGAAGCCTAAAAATTGGATTTTAGATTTCTAATGTGGCTCAAACTGTTACAACCTGTCAGTGTTTCAGAGAACTGCTGCGCTATTTGCCTACTTCAGGTTCATGCTCTCTCTAGGCTTGCAATTCATTTCCAAGTGAAGTGGTTGAAATCTGTCCTCAGTAAGTTTTCAAGGTGATAAAAAGTTTTAAAATGTGCTCCTCCACCACCCAGTGATTGTAAAGCTGCCTTGGCTGTGACACTTTCCCTGCAATAATGAATGGCAAAATGGTCAAAGTTCACTGTAAAGGGGAAATTTGGTTGGTGAAACAGATCAAAATGTTTAGTACAGAGAGAAATAAAGGAAACAGAGCAAATTTTTTAATCAGTAGCTACTCTACAGAGGAATTAGACTTGACTTATAATTATTTTCCTTCATTTTTCTGATTAGCTTCCTGTACAACAAACAGAAAAGGGAGATGGATGATGTTTGAGCACATATTGCGGTTAACAACAGCTGAACTAATGCAGTTTGAATATGGACAGTCATTAGTTTCTTCTTAGTTAAGAGAAAGTGTTGCACCTTGTTTATTCCCTTCCTTCTAAAGAGTATCATTTTGCATTAAAGACCCGCAAGGGATTTTTCATTGGAGGCTTATGGGAACAGATGGAAAAATATACACATAATAACTGTGAAAATATAACAGTGGAAAGAAGCCAAAGACAAAATCAAACATATGCTTCACTTTCAGAGGTGTGAAGAAGCATTCAGCAAACTGATTTCTGTGAGATTTAATGTGAACTCGCCAGAAAAACTGGCACTTCAAGTGTATGTTTGTCTTTTGGTAAAAGGTTTCTCCTGAGATGGATATCAGAAGAGTTTTATGGTTTAGGTTTTGTTTCTCCCTCAGTGGTGGCTTCATGTTAGAACTGAATATCGCATAAAACATTTCACAAGATAAAAATATGAAGAAAGGTTAATGTGATTTCAAATAGAAAACCAAGAGAGCCTCGTTGAGCCTGATAGAAAACTAATCTGCTAAGAAAGCCAAGGGATGCCAGTAAGAGGACACAGAATTTGCTTAGTCCTTCAAAATTCATGCTTACTTAGTCTTTCAAAAAGTCCCTTCAGCAAGAGAAACATCATCCCAAAGGAAGTGAGGGGCTGAAGCACACACATGTGGAAGAATTGTG